CGCACGCGTGCGGGGAGAGGCAGTCCTGGCCCGTTGCAGCTCAGTTTCAACCAGGGAAAAGACGGAGCAGGAGGAGGGTCAGAGCCCCGGCGAGGCGACTTGCCCAAGAGGATGTACTGGGGAGCAGAGCAGGGACCCTATCCTGGCCTGGTCCTGCTTTGGCTGCACCCAGGTTACCCATCCCGCTCCTCGCCCCTGCTGCCATCACCCCTGCGGAGCTGGAGAGCCAAGGAGATGATATAAAGGCAGCGGGAGCCTTCCCTGGTTACCCCGATGCTAACTTAGGGAGGGATCTCTCTGCTTTGTGCCTTTTTTTGAGGCGTGGCTGTGATGGGAGGCTCTTGCAGAGGATGCAAGAGATGGCTCTGCCTGTCCCCGCTCTGTCCACTGCCCACCACGGGACCGTGTACCCCAGTCCCTCATCATAAACCCGGCTCCCAGCTAATCCTGTCGCTCCGAGCGCAGGCACAGCCCTTCCTCGCTCCGTAGTCAGAGGCGCTGCTCTGACCTGTCGAGATGGCTCAGTCTTCGGCTAGCAGGCGTGTTCAGTGTAATAACTCTACGGTTGGACTAATTTGGCTTGTTTTAGCTGAACCGGAGGACAAAGGATGGGATTTTCCTAAAGCACCTGAGGGATTCGGCAGCATTCATCCTTGTGCCGGGGCTGGTGCCTGTGAATCACTTGCAGGATGGCTCCATTTCAAGCCCCGGTTTTAATCATGATGTAAATCACTGGCTTTCATCTCGTTTCGCCTGTGCTCTTTGTGTTTGCACTTTTAAAAGAATATTCCCCAGAGAAACGCTGGCTCTCCCTGGTTAGTAACCATTAGGAGGTATCTCTTTTCAGCTAAGTGTAGCCCGTGCACTAAATTTAGTACTTGCGTTTGCTGATCGGGATGTTACATGGAACATTTAAGTGGCTTTATGGCATATCGTACATACAGTAATACTTCATTTCTACGTTCTACTACATTAAAAAAAGATGATTGGTTTTTCTGTGCATGATACATTCCAGCTGCTTTTGGATGGAAATTTGAATTCAATTAAAATGCAGAAATCAGCATTTTAAATAATGCTTGTATTAGTTAAGTAAAACCATGTTAAATGTTCTGGATGCATGAGCAAGAAACGAAAAAAGCTGTTTTGCATCTGAAGTTAAATGATTTATTAAGCAAAGGAAGTTATTATCTATCAGGAGGGAATTGAATGGATTGTTTGTGGTCATAATGGCCTTTAAGATTTTTTAGAAGTGGTAGATCTCATCCTCGCCCACCTAGTTTTAAATGCGAGGTTGGAATGAAGAAGCGAGCATTACAGCTTTTTTGCTTCCCAGTTGGTTTCTCAACTTTGAGTGACCTGAACTAAACTGAACGGAAGCAAATACAGCCTGTGCATCTGCAGAAAAGGTTACGGCTGCCAAAAGCTGGTTTATCAGCTCAGCAAATTCTGGTTGCAGGTGATTTTTGTTTTTTTTAATCCCCATTCAGGGGGATTACTTGATCTAAAATGTGGGAAATAACACAGGTAACTGCTTGAGTATTCATTTTTATTTAGCTTAAACTATCTTATGTTCATGTCTTAATATAGTTTGTCATAATTTCAAGTTGTGTTTTGTAAACAGTTGTATTTAAAGAGCAGAAGTATGTTTAGTTTTCATTTCCAAAAGTGCCCTAGCTATTTTGCTGTTTACTCACTTACGTGCCGTGGTCATTTACGTTCTGAAAGCCCAACACAAGGCACTTGGCAGGAACAAAGCATAGCTGTTGATTCTTGACGAAGAAGCTGGTGGTGAGTGTCCTGGAGCTGACCCCTGATGCCTTTTCTCCCTTCATTTTGGCACCTCTTATTCTTGCAGGGAGCAGATCAAGAGGGTGAAAGACTCAGATGATGTTCCCATGGTGCTGGTGGGAAATAAATGTGACCTACCAGCCCGGACAGTGGAGACCCGACAAGCGCAGGACCTGGCCCGGAGTTATGGGATCCCCTACATAGAAACGTCTGCCAAAACCAGACAGGTAGGAGGAGGGTTTTAAACAAAATCTTTTTTCTTCTCTTTTCTCCAGTACTGTCCCGGAGAAGCAGGAACGGGCAGACACCACCTTGCAGACAGATGGGTACAAGGGCCAGGGTTAGTTCCTCAAGGCTAAATGCTCCATCAGGACGTTCCCTCCCATGTCTGGGCTCAAGCCTCCAATCCGGAGAAGTGTGTAATTCACGCTCCAGCAGCAGTGAAGGGAAGGGCTTTCTCCAAGGCTCTGGAATAACCCCCATAGTCACTGCAGGTCAGCTAAGCTCAGGGGACTTGGCTAACCTCACCCCTGATCTATTTTGGCAGACCTACAGGCAGAACATACCAGTGCTGGAAGGACCATGTGGGGCTTCCAGAGCACAAAGGTGGAAACGGAGCAGCTGATACCTTCAGTGGTCTAGTGGTGACTTTTCTCTTAGGTGGTAGACCTCATTCAGGCTGCTGGAGGCTGATGAATCTCAAGGACTTAAGAGCTCCTTGGCCTCGTGGTTGCTCATTCAATCTCGCTCTCTGTTCGGGGGCCACACCAAGATAGTCTTCCCAGCTTGGTTTCATGCCTTTAACTCTACAATCCGCACTGCTGGAAGACAGTGTTAGGGACACCTAGCTGGGGAGCAGAGCCCTCTCTTCTCTCCACTGTCCCCTCTCGAAGAGGGCAGCTGCTTCAAGCGATGCTTTTCTTCCAGGGCGTTGAAGATGCCTTCTACACCTTGGTGCGGGAGATCCGTCAGCACAAGCTGCGCAAGCTGAATCCCCCAGATGAGAGCGGCCCCGGCTGCATGAACTGTAAATGTGTGATATCGTGACTACGGTGAGTTTTGGAAGCGGGAGATGGGGTGCAGCGGGGTTATATTGGAAGGAGGAGATGGGGTGCAGTGGCGGTATATTGGAAGCAGGGCAGGAGGTCACTGCAGATGCACTCGTCTGCCAACAAATGCAGCAGAAATTTCAGCAACGGGTATTTTTTAATGAAACACCTTTTTGACTGAAATAGCATTTTTCTGTCAAAACATAGGTAAGTCAAATCTCCTACTTTCCTGAGGAAGTGTGTAGGCGGAAAGGGTTGTTTATTTTTCCCCCTCATTTTGTGGAACAAGATTCTACAGAACTGAATAAAAAAAATACAGGTTTTGTCATGCTTTCCCTGGGAAAGCTCCTTCCCGTGCTGCCCCTCTGCGAGAGGAGTTAAGCTGGTGTTGAAGGTGTGCGGCTCGCTCTGCATTCACCAGGCTGGCTCTAGAAGAATGCAGATGAAGAGCGGAGCGAGTGCATAACCTCCTAATGCACTCGTGTAAACTGCCTCCTCCTAAAGATTCAGAGCAGACCTGTCTCACTGTGAAAGTCCTGTGTTCCTCAGAAGAGTTATCCCCATTAGATAGATCCTCTGGGATATTTGGAACTGATGCAATGTTGAGAATTAGCCATAAGGGGGCTGTTTCGCTTTTATAAATTGTGCGTGCTGGAGCCAGAAACAGTGTTTTTCAGATTGTCTGTGTTCACTTGCCTGTTTTTCTTCTTTTTCTTTCCTTGTTTTTTTTTTTTAATGATGAGTTTATTTAAATCATTGCAATCCTGCTGGATAGCAGTGAGGGAGAGCTCCTGTTGGTGTCCCTGCGTGAGCTGGGTGGCTGTAAGCCAAACGCCTGGGAACATCTGGCTGTGTAACCAGCTCCTTCCATGGCAGAAGTGGAGGGAGAGGCAATTGGGGATGAATGCAGCGGGGAGATATACATCTGAGGACATCTGGGACTGGGGTGTGGGAGAAAAGCCTGCACGAACATTGCCCTTAATGTCTTTTGGGGAGTCTCCCAAGCACCCGGACTGGCCCTTCACCCCTTTACACAACTGCTGGAGTCCTAAAGAGAAGCGCATCGTGTCCAGAGATGGTGCTAAGAGGGTCTTGCTGAAGGTGGAGGTGGGCAGCTGGTTTTCCTCCATCGCTTTTTGAGCCAAAGGCTGTAAGTGCAGCAGAGCTCTTCCCTGAAAAAAAAAAAAAAGAAAAAAAAAAAAAACCCTAAAATGCTGGCAGTGTTTGCTTCCTATGAGCAAAAAACCACCCGAGCACCCCACCCCTCCGCTCCCAGCCTGAGGCGCACGAGGTCTCCTGGGGGCCGAGCCGAATGCTGTGCCCAGCACACTTATCACTACTGCGGGAGGTTTTCCAGATGTTCAGGTCCTCCAGATGTTCAGGAGCGTTTCCTCCGGATGGGGATGTGAGCTCGGGGCTCGTTTCCTGCTCTGGCTCACAGCTGACGGCATGGGCTCGGTGGACGCTGCTGCTCCCCTACACCGACTGCCAGGAGCCCCGTCCCCGTCACAGCCCGGTGGCCAGCACCGGCACGGGCAGTGCCTCCAAAAGAGGGGCAAGAAGGGGTGGGAAGGAGTCTCGTGGAAACACTCCCCTCTGTTAAGAGACATCCCAGCTTATTCTAGCTGCAGTGGCCAAGAGCAGAGGGGGAGGAACATCAGGGCACAAAAGGAGAAGCGAGGCAAGGACGCACCGGGTTTTGGGGAGGAGAAGGGTGGGTGTGTGACCAGGGAGATGCATTTGCCCTGGACTCACTTTGTGGTTCCCATCATCCCTGGAGGAGGGGGAAAGATCTCACCAAACAGTGCCCCTTCCCACGACGAGGTTTGGGCAGAGGCAGAAGGTCTGGTGAGATGCCTGAGGCTCACCCATCACGCCACAGACCGTTTCCCTTCAGCGCACGTGTAGATGCTTCGCCGAGCCAGGTCCAGACCTCCAAGACCTGCGTAGCCCTTAGCTTTCCCTCTGTGGGCTCTAGCAGGGTCATCCCAAAGTGTGAGGGGTGGGTAATGGAAACAGCCCCCGCTGGTTCTGACGGTGAATGGGTGCTAATGAGTGTCCTCTTCTGGTTTCAGCTGACTGGACCGTGTCTTGGAGAGGTTCCCACCGTGCAGAGCGCAAGTAAAGAGGTGAAGCGAAGGAAGATGCAAACGGATTCAGGGGAGGAGTGTAGGGGGAGGGGGAGAGGAAGAGGAGGAGGAGGAAGAGGACGGGGGAGCATGAGCCCCTCCAAGGACTATCTCGCACTTCACCCAAGCCTGCGGCAAACGACTTTTTTCTTTTTTTTCTTTCCCCATCCCCTCCTCCTTTGGCCTCCTCCCACCCCGGCAACTGTACAAAGCCACAGATTGAATCACAGTAAATTATTATTTGATGGTCTCGACAAACCGTCTTGATGGCTGTGTCCTCCTTCCAGAGGGTGCTGCTGCTGGTGCTCCGGGAGGATCGCTGGTGGGGCGGCAGGGAGGGAAGGGCGCTGAGATTTGCTCTCCACAGACCAAGATCATGCTGTAGACCGTGAAGGTGATCGGGGTGGGGTATCCTTCAGGGAGAGAGCTGTCTTTGTCTCCAGCAAGTCGTTGTCATGTCCCCGTCCCCCCCAGCCCTGAAACTCTCTGCTGGCCCCAAGTTTTGGTGGGATGGAAGAGCGCAACCAGTCCAAGCCTGTCCTCAGCGCTTCCCTGTGTGCTTTGCCTTCAACCTAGTCCTTGCGGGATTTTTTTATGGCCTCAGATGCGATGCCTGGAAGGAAAGAAGCATCGGGGAGATCTAAGAGCTGGGTTCACCTCAGCTGGTGCCAGTTTGTTGCTTCCTTGATTTTTTTTTCCAGGCAGCTCCTTCTGGCACAGCACCTCCCAAATGTTTATGTGCTCCAGAGGCAGAATTAGGCCTTTCTGCTCCCCTCCAGCACCTAGCTAACGCTAACACCTGCATAGCACATATGCCTTGGGCTGCTCCAGTCTGTCAGCAGTGTATAATGGTATGCAAATCCTCGCTGCCCTGCGCACGGCTTAATTACTGGTGAGCACGTAGCAGAAGGGCTCTCCTGCGCTGCACACAGCTGTCTGGCTGCTCAACAACTAAGACTAAAGGATTCAGACTTCCAGTCCTCAGGTTTAGAGTGGGTAGGAGTGTTTTGGATAAGGGCTAATCTGTTGGGAAGCCCGTCTTTGCTCAGCCCTGCTCCTTTGGGATTTTTGCCTGGGGTCCGACCGGCTCCTCCCGTGTGCCTTTCCCTCGCAGAGCCAAGACGGAGGCATTGCGCTCAGCGCAGCGGGCGGCTCCGTGCTCCCTGCCTTTCCCTCTCCCAAGCTATTGCACAGCCTAATTGAGCTGGCACGCAGAATTAAGAGCATCAAAGGGGGAAGGTGATCCAGCCGAGTGCGGCGGGGGGCCGGTCTGGCCGTTCTGCACGGGCTAGCCCAGGCCTGAAGAGGTGCCGGCTTCGGCAGCCGAGGCCGGCAGGGGTTGGGAGCGGCGCGGGCAGCGCGTGAGTCACATGCCTCCCACGGCAAAACCGGTACAGAAACCCTGGTCACCCCCGGCACAAAGCCACAGCCCACCTGGGGGTTCCCAGCGTCCGTGCGGGCAGCCTCCCGTCCTGCTCCTCATCCTCCCTCGCGCTCGGCAGCAGCAGAATTAAACTCCGGTGCTGCTTGGAGTTGCTGCCTTTGCTTTTGGCCTGGGCAAGAGAGGACTTGTGCTAACGGCTTGCTTTTTGTCCCTGCCTGCTCCGAAGTGCTGTGGGGCACAGCCCCCACCCTGGCTGCAGCTGCCTGGCACCCAGTTCCTGCAGGAGAAGGGCTGATCCCAGCTCGAGTGGGAGAAGTTACCCAAGGGAAGAGCTGCCCTGCCTGTAGCTGGGTGTGCTGTTTGCAGCAGCGCCTGTCCCCGTGCTGGAGGAGTGCTGAAGATGCTGAGTCTGGTGTTACTGGTGGGGCTGGACCAGAGGCTCCCAGAAAATCTCCCAACCTAAGTTGTTTCAAGCGTGAAGCCTGGAAGTACGGGTTTTGTTCCGAAGTTGGCAGCTTGTGCACAACTACAGGCGGGGCAGAGGACAGGGCTACTTCGTGCTTCTAGAAGATGACTGAAAGCCTTAACAGTTAGTGGGTGGGTTGACCTGGGGCCCTTGCTTGGTGGTGTTACTGCACTAGGAACCTGGTGCTAGCTTTCTGCTATAGAGCTTATCTCATCCTTCCTCAGGCCCTTGGTGAAGGATGGGATAGCTCTATCTGGAGGCCTTCAGATGACAAGCAACGCTGTGTTTGGGGCTCTCTCAAGGACTGGACTCTGGATGGCTCTAACCACGGAGAGATACCCTCTCATTTCTGGTTGGGAGCCAGAAGCCACAGTCAAGGACTGGGAGCCACGGTCAAGCAAGCTGAGGAGCTCCAGGGAGCACCAGGGGCGAGGTGTCTTCACAGGGCAGGCACCAGCTGCAGTTGCGAGAGGCTGGCGTGTCTTGGCGAGGGTGTGCTAGAGCAGCACCGGCCAGAATACGAAGTCCTTCAGCAGTTTGGTCAGGAGCAGGAAGCCAAAGTACGAGCATCTCCCTGTCTGAGAGGTTTCTGCACCCCTCAGGGTGAGGTTTTCCAGCTCGCTCAGGAAAGCTCTGGGTCTGGTCAAGTCACGTGTTATCGTAGCTTGTTGGAGTCTCTTCTGTTGCTTCCTTGGGCCACTCCTCATGGCTGTTGCACCACGGGGTGCTGAAGAGGAGCTTTCATCAGCGTTTCAGCAGTTGGTGTCTGCATTTAGCAGCACACCATCAGGCACCAGACAGGCCTTTCTTCCTGGTGGAAGAGTCTGGTTGAAACTTCACAGCTTTGATCTGTTGTACACTTCAAGTGGTTCCAGATATTGACAGTCTCTTTTCTGAGGTGGCTGAGATAAAATAGTCCTATTTTACACATGGCTAAAGCAGATATAGATGTGCTAGGAGTCACTAGGGTTCTACAAATGGACCTAAAAGTTCTTCAGGAGCCAGGGTACACCTTCATCCTGGTGTAGGCGGTAGGACAGTGCTATGACAGGACAGCACTTCAGAAATCCAGTAGGCAGGTAGGAGCTGGAACTGGAGACTGCAAGCACCTTAGGAGGGCCTGGCTGATAGGTGGTGGTCCGAGTCTGGCAGGTTGCAGACCAAACTCATTCCTTTTGTGGACTGCACCCAGCAGAAGCAAGGCAGCTAGGACCCTTTGTCAAACAGTGCTGGTCAGGCATGGCCATCTCAGGAGCTGGAAGCTTGGTTAGCTTTTTGCTGTAGTTAGAAGATCACAAGGAACCCCAACTCATGTTAGTGTTCAAGTCCATGCTGAAAGTTGGAGGTAGGTTGGGAGCAAAAGGAGGTGCTAAAAGCTTGACACCACAGCTCTTCCCCTGAAATCACGCCTTGATTGTGTATTAATGTACTGCAGCTTTGTTCCAGGAGGTTGGCTTCAGGAGAATCACGACAGATCCTCATAGTTAGAAGATCACAAGGAACCCCAACTCATGTTAGTGTTCAAGTCCATGCTGAAAGTTGGAGGTAGGTTGGGAGCAAAAGGAGGTGCTAAAAGCTTGACACCACAGCTCTTCCCCTGAAATCACGCCTTGATTGTGTATTAATGTACTGCAGCTTTGTTCCAGGAGGTTGGCTTCAGGAGAATCACGACAGATCCTCAATGCGCAGTAAGATACGTCAGGTCTGATCGGATCTGATCTTTGGGGTGGGCAAAAAACCAGAGCGTATCATTTCTCTCAGGTGGAGCTGTTACTTTGGACCTGGCGTTTTCTCTTGCTGACTTGGTGCTGGTAATTTGGGTACAGGACAGCAACTTGCTGGTCATGACAGGCAGGGTGTCAGTGTGCGAGTTCACAGTGTGTTCTCTGCTAGCTGAACGTCTTGAGTCTGAAAGTAGTATCAGGGTTACGATTTCATTAGAGTGAATGTAGGTCTGGAGAAGGAATTGCTGGGTTTGGAGTCGATTTAGTTGATTTTCCCCATAGTTATTTAAGGCGCATTTGTTCTAGAAGTACCTGGACTGGAAGATGTGGTTTTCAGGTACTGCAGTCGTTTCCCTTACGACAAGGAGTTTGTTGCCTATCTCAGTTCTGCTTCTGTGGCATGAGCTTAGGTGAGCAGAACGTGCAGTTATTCTGAAGAGCCGCTCCAGCTGCATAGCTGGAAGCTGCAGAAGTCCACAGAGGTAAGCTTTTTGCTATATTTGGGCACATCAGCTCATGTTTGGCCACCACCATCTCTTCAGCTGGTGATGGCAAGGCTGGACTAAACGTGGTGCTGTGCCGTGGATCTTGGGCAAGTGTGAACACCACCTCTGAGAAGGCTTCAGGCAGCATTGTACTGCTTATCTGTTGAGGCTGCATCTCCCGTGACGGAGGAGTGCCACCTTTGAACCTGTACTTAAATGACGGAATAGCTGGGGAGGTCTGGTCTGGTTTGGTCTGGTCAGGTCCAGATGTCTCAGGACTGATGTATAAGCTTTTCTCTCCCACATCATTCAAGCGCCCCACACCCTGTTACAGAGGGGTTGGGGCTCCAGAGACATTGCAGGTGAGTCAACTGACAAAATTGCTTACAAGTCCTTAAAGATGCTGATTAAGTGCTGGAACAGATCTCAGGCCTTCTGGTCTGTGAGGGCTTCCACAGAAGCATTTTCCTAAGCCAGCAGAGATGGTGACTCCAAAACAGATGAGGGCATGGTGCTTGCTGAAGGCTTTGGCAGGCGTCTGGGTTGAGTTTGCAGGAGGTGGCAGCAATGACTCATTGCTGGAGAGAGACCAGAGAGGCGAGTCGGGGGGTAGCTGAATGAAAGGCTGAGTTTTACAGAGCAGCCCTGGCTAAGTGCTGGCCTCATCCGTCTCGCTCGCAGCGTGGTTGGGTAAGGAGGAGCAGACCAGGTTTCCCTTCTGGACTACAGTCCAGTCCGCTGCTGCAGACCCTTCCAGCCTGAGCGGTACTTCCGTATCACTTCTCCTTGGCTCCACCAGGAGCCATAAAGGTAAGCAAAGCCACCCCGAGAACCAGCTTCCCCAAGCAACTGCCTGCCTGAGTGAGCCGCAGGCTTAGATACCCTGCGGAGCGGGGCTCCGGTGTGGGGCCAGGCCGAGTGGCCTCCGGGTCACCAGAGTGGCCCAGGCTCTTAATGGGGTGGTTGGAAGCAGGGGCTTGTGGTATTGCACCCCATCTATCCGTGGGTACCTCTAGGGACCTCATACCAGTTTTGGAGCAAGGATGGAAGTTTCTTACAGTTAACCTTTCTCTGTGTCCTAGGAAGAGCCTGTTTTACTGTGGAGAAGAATAGGGCTAAATAAGCCAGGCTTTAGTGACTCCAATCTCTCGGACTCGTGCCTTTGTGTATGCCTTCAAAGCCATCTCCATCTTGGGTTC